ATCGCTTCTAGTAACAAGTGCCTTACTAGTAGTAACAAGAAGCTATTTGTTTGTGAGAAAACCCCAGGTTTGGACCCTTTGGACCCCACCCACTCGCACACAGTTTGGTCGAGGTGCTTTTGCGCTAGCAGGTCAGCGAGCTGAAATTCCTGATAGCGCTAAACGCTAAGCCGCTAAAAGGGGAGTGTGACAAGCCAAGGAGACTAGAAGTGGCTGAAGTGGCTGCTTAAGCCATATAGACAAAGGAGGTTCTCAGTTCAGTCCTTGTCCACCTTTTCTTCTTCAATGATGGATTTGATGTCCTGCTCATGCAGAATGCTTGAATGAACATGATCGTTACCATTCACAAGAGAACAAAAATAGCCCACCGGCTCAAAGCCAGCAATGCGATCGGCCCAGTGCTGGATGGCCTGAAATGAAATTTAAGTGAAACGTTTTCCAACCTAAAAGCAATGGCCTCCAACCTAGGAGCAATGGCTTCCACCCTAAGAGCGATGTCCTCAAACCTACTAGCGATGGCCTCCAACCTCCAACCTAGTTTTGTGACACGTTTTCCAGGTGTTTGCCAATTCTTTGGCCTCTGCGGCAATGCTGCGCCGCAAGACCTTTGATTTGACTTTGTTGCAGCCTCGGCATAAAAGGACTGTCTAAGCAGTTCAACAAAACCCTGCAGTTTCTTCAATCTTGTTGTTTGACTTCGACAGAATGGGCGAGACTCAACCAATCTTAGAGTGTGGCATTGTCGACCAAGCTGTTTGACCTTCGACCAGCTGAACGGCAAAACATCAGGCTTGTTAACGTATCTGGGAACAGTTTGTAAAGATCTGGAAAAAACAACACATCAACTTTGTAGGCTGACAAATCTCAGATCAAAAAATTCCGTCTCCGTGCCTTGGTGTATTCTTCGGGGCAGTAGATGGTCACAGCTCGTCCCGCACGGCCCATACGCGCCTGGCGCTCGACGAGCTCCACCAACGCCCCACCGAACCGGGACTGAACAGGACGCTGGACGTCGCGTGGAGGCTCCAACCTACTAGCGTTCTGGCTACGTAGCTTCCTTGCTCCTAATGTTACGCTAGGAGCCCCTACTAGCGCTCTTGCTACTAGTAGCTTCTTGTTCGTAGTAAGGCCAGGAGCTACTAGTAGCGTCCTTGCTACTAGTAGCTGCATGACGGGCTCGGATTTAATTTAGGATTTTTTTGTGTTTTTAAAGGATTGTTTTTTCGTGTTTCGTGGCAGGTGCAGTACTTTGTGGACCTTGCAATGCACATTTCGTGGCAAGTGCAGGACTTTGTGGATGTTGAAGTGCAGATTTCCTGGCAGGTGCAGGACTTTGTGGATGTTGAAGGGCAGAGCAGTGCAGATTTCGTGGCAGGCGCAGGACTTTGTTGGCCTTGAAGTGCAGATTTC